CAAACATAGATGTTACAGTTTCTATACTCAGTATCATCTCCTCATAGTAGTTTTGACACTTTGATGGTGAAAATTAGTTGTGAAATCGAATGTCTTGTCGCACCAGCTGTGATCATCAGGTAAGCAGTGCTTGCAAAACATCTTTTCTGGAAACACACTCCAGCATCTGCAAAGAATCAGAATCAGAATCAGAAAGGGGTTTATTGCCAAATGTTGAGCAGGTTTACAACATTAGGAAATTGCTGCGGTGCTTCAGTGCAAACATAGTGTCATAAATAGCACTTAAATAGACATGGAAAAAAATAAAAGTAGGAATAAGAATTAAAAGTGCTACGTGGAAAGATATGTGCATGAGATATACATGAGATATATACATGAGAATAAGAATTAAGAGTGCTACGTTGAAAGATATATACATGAGTGCAGGTGGTGATCAGTGCCAAACATGGAATGATGCAGTGACACAGCGTAGGGTCATGTGTTAGTGGCGGGTACAGTCATATGGTTATTGTTCATGTGTCCAACAGCAGAGGGGAAGAAACTGTTCTTATGGCGAGAGGTTCTGGTGCAAATGGACCGGAGCCTCCTGCCTGAGGGGAGCAGGTCAAACAGACTGTGTCCAGGGTGAGAAGGGTCAGCTGAGATCCGAGCTGCACGCCGCAATGTCCTGGAGGTGTACAGGTCCTGCAAAGATGGGAGTCTGCAGCCAATCACCTTCTCAGCAGAGCGCACAACACGCTGCACTCTCTGTTTGTCCCTGATAGTGGCTCCAGCGTACCACACGGTGATGGAGGAAGTGAGGATGGACTCGATGATTGCAGTGTAGAATTGCATCATCGTCCGTGTTGGCAGGTTGAATTTCTTCAGCTGCCTCAGGAAGTACATCCTCTGCTGGGCTTTCTTGATGACGGAGGTGATGGTGGGCTCCCACTTCAGGTCCTGGGTGATGGTGGTACCCAGGAAGCGGAATGAGTCCACAGAGGTGATGGGGGTGTCAGTCAGGATGATGGGGGGGAGTGGGGCTGTGTGCTTCCTGAAGTCCACAATAATCTCCACTGTCTTCTGGGCATTCAGCACCAGGTTGTTGTGGCTGCACCAGGACACCAGACGTTCAACCTCCCTCCTGTAGGCAGACTCGTCCCCGTCCGAGATGAGTCCAATAACGGTGGTGTCATCTGCAAACTTGATTAGCTTGACAGACTGGTGGGTGGAGGTGCAGCAGTTGGTGTACAGGGAGAAGAGCAGAGGAGAAAGAACACAGCCCTGAGGGGAGCCGGTGCTGATGGTCCGGGAGTCCGAGACATTCTTTCCCAGCCTCACGTGCTGCTTCCTGTCCGTCAGGAAGTCAGTGATCCACCGGCAGATGGGATCAGGCACATTCATCTGGGAAAGCTTGTCTCGGAGATGGTCTGGAAGGATGGTGTTGAAGGCAGAGCTGAAGTCCACAAACAGGATCCTGGCGTAGGTTCCTGGGGAGTCCAAATGCTGCAGGATGAAGTGTAGGGCCATGTTGATGGCGTCGTCTACAGACCTGTTGGCTCTATATGCAAACTGCAGGGGGTCCAGGAGGGGGGCCGTGAGGGTCCTGAGATGGGAGAGAACTAGGCGCTCAAAAGACTTCATGACCACAGATGTCAGAGCCACAGGTCTGTAGTCATTTAGTGCAGTGATCCTAGGTTTCTTGGGGACAGGGATTATGGTAGAGGACTTGAAGCAGGCAGGCACATGACATGCCTGCAGTGAGGAGTTGAAAATGCCAGAAAACACTGGGGCCAGCTCGTTTGCACAGTGTCTGAGGGTGGCAGGAGACACGCCGTCTGGGCCGGGAGCTTTCCAAGCATTCAGGTTCTTAAACTGCTTCCTCACATCTGCTTCATGAATATGAAGAGTTGTGGTGGGAGGAGGTGGTGTGAAATCCTCTTTTGTGTGGGGTGAGGAGGGGGGTGTTGTAGGTGAACGGTTTGAAGGTGGTGATGGCTCTATGGAGGGGGGAGAGGTGGGGGAATTAGTGTCCAAAGTGTCTCTATTGTTGGGGCCGTTGGAGGTGTGAAGGCTGCCTGATGGCTCGTCAAAACGGCAGTAGAAGTCGTTAAGGGTGTTGGCCAAGAGCAAGTCATCAGTGGAGTGGGGGGTTTTAGGCTTGTAGTTTGTGATATTCCTAAAACCTTTCCACACAGAGGCCGAGTCATTCTCTGAGATCTGCTGCTGCATCTTCTCAGAGTGCTGATGTTTAGCAATGTCCACTTCTTTAGTGAACCTGTACTTGGCCTCTCTGTAGCAGTCCCTGTCTCCGCTTCTGAATGCCTTACTCTTTTCCAGCCACAGCTTTTTGAGTTTAGGAGTAAACCAGGGTTTGTCATTGTTATAACTCACCCTGGTGCGTGATGGCACAATGCTGTCCTCACAGAAGTGGATATAGGAGGTGACAGTGTCCGTAAACTCGTCCAAGCTGTTAGAAGCAGCCTTCAATGTGTCCCAGTCTGTGGTCTCCAAACACGTGCGAAGCTCCTCCACAGCCTCGTTGCTCCACAGTTTTTTGGTCCTCACGACAGGTTTGGAGAGCTTCAGCCTCTGTCTGTACGCGGGGATTAGGTGGATCATGACGTGGTCAGAAAGTCCGAGTGAAGCGCGGGGCACCGCACGATAGGCCCCGCTGATCGTGCTGTAACAGTGGTCTAATGTCCTCTCCTCTCTGGTCGGGCATTTAATATACTGCTTATATATTAAACATGCACTATGCATGTATATAGTGTTGTACTTATGTTGCTTTTCCTCTGTGTATATTGATTTCTGTACTTTTGCACTTTTGTGGTCTTGCTAATATCGCTGTGCAAGCAACTGTACAATGACAAAAAAAGTTCTAAGTTTTTCTATCAAAGCTACAGTGTGCACATTGAATGGGTATGTGTGTTTAGCCATGTGCTGTCAGAAGTGATTAGAAAGAGTAAACACTCGTTGTGGACTTAGATTCAGAAACCCTGTTGAGCATTGACCTTTGCTATCTCTGTGACACCCAGGCCCTTCACCTCTGGTGATGAGGTTGTTGTTTGCTCATTCTCGTGTCTTTCACGGACACTTTCTCTGTAAAATTGCTTGCTGCGCTTGTCCGCAAATCAAAGCGTTGGCACACGAAGACAGAAGAGCGTGTGTCTATTTCACGGGTCAGTTTATGCAGCTACTGGAGCAAAATGTAGTAAAAAAGAAAAAAACGTAAACAAAATCCAAACAGTTCAAAAAAGAGGAAAAGAAAGAATTTCAACACAATAAAAACAGAAGAACTTTTGGTTTTCGCCCGTTTTCTACTCTCATCTGTAATGTGAGTGTTTGAGCTAATGTTGAGCCACCTAAGATAATAAAGTCTGAGTCACTTTTCCAGGGAAAGAAAACAGTATTTGCTTGTAAAAGAGGGGGGGGAAAGTATGAAAAGCAAAGGCAGCCACAGTTTCACTAAAGACCACTGTGTGGCTTATCCATTCATGGGAAAGGCATTAAATAGTGATGGTGTTGACTGGATGGTGACATCAGGCTCTACAAACAAAGCCAGCCAGCAGGAAATTAGATGCAACCAATTGACAGTTTTATTTGAAATTTATCAGCTAAATTTAAGGTTGAACCCAAATGAACTTTAACCTAAATTTCTGGCTTCTAGATGCGAAATTGCTCAAATCAGTGATTTTTCGCCTATTTTGTGAATCACTGGCTGTAACAAGATTGCAGGTGTGAAGAGAAATCTGTTCAAACCTGTAAAACTGTGTCAGGGTTGAAGGCTGTAGAGTGTTGACGTTTTCGATCAATTACCCAAATGCAGGCTAGTCAGGGCAAATCAGTTCTAAAGAGTCAGTCTGTAGCAAACAAGGTGAGCCTTGAGAGCCAAGAGAGTTGCACAGGCTTGGTTAAAATGACTCAGTGTTAACTCATTCACTGCCAGCCATTGGCAGTGAATGAGTTAAACCCATTAACTCATTCACTGCCATTGACGGCTATAGACGTCAATGGCAGTGAATGAGTTAATATGAGGTCAGAAAATGATGTGTTATATCATCCTTTTTTTGTACAGTGAAAGATGTGTACTTGTGTAAATCATCTGATGTGAGATGTGTCCCTGTTTTTGTGCCCCTCAGCCATCTCTGTTAATCATTCCTGTGACGGGTCTGTACATGAAACTCAAGGATAAAGGGGTTTAGTCTTGGTGTAAACAAAAAGAAAGGATCCAATCTCGCGAAAAGACAAGGTTTACCTGAACCAAAAAACAAACAAACCAGATATCCAGTGAGGCGTCCTATCATTGTAGTTGTATTTGGTGCTGTTCAGATGCTGTAAACCCACCTGGGTGGTCTCAAATATTTAACAGCCTTTTGAGTGCTGCTCAAAAGTATTGCAAAAAAAGTGAAAGCAGAAAGATGTGTGTGCTTTGTAGGCGCCTCAGTCCAAAGAAATCCCAAAGAAATCCACCACCGACACCACATACACATGCAGCCCTGATGTTGTCAAACTGCCCGTCCTAAACTCCACTGCCTTGGTACTGTTTTGTAGTAAATTATAAAAGATGTTCCCACTTAGCTCAAATCCTCATCTGTGAAGAGTTGACAGTAACAGTGAAGTGAGTATAGCTAACCCTCTATCAGATTCCACCTTATATATGTGAGTGTGTCATAATGAACAGGAGAGGAGAACGGCTGCTTTTGCGTTCAACGACGCAGGACAAGTTTAAAGTGAGCAGCATTTACAAAAGGGGTCACAAACTACCACTATCCAAATCAGAATATGTTAACCAGATTGCCACCTGATTCTAACGAGTGGCACAAACAGGAATCACATATCAGCTCAGTGTTATCTAAACGGTGAGCAAATCAATATTGCACCAATTCAAAGGAAGCAAGAGTCTCTTAATGAGGGACTACTTTAAAGTCATCCTTTGTGCGTAAGTTCCCCGTCAGATGCAGACAGCTCACCCTTGTCGGTTATTCAAAGGAGGCGGGGTCCAGTTGCACTGACTGAGTGTTGCAGGGTATCTGAGAAGCAGATATGCCCTTTTAAAAAGTTTGAGGAGACTCTCAGGAGAAGCCACTTCGGACTTTTACGCATCGAGCGTCCATGGATGGAAAGGGGACCGAGAAGGCACCGACAGGAGCCAACATGAGCAATAGATCCTTCCCTATCTCTGACCCGATATGTCAAACGGAGGACGCTCCTTTCGCCATGGATGTCATCCGCAGTGAGTAAAGCGGGTTCCGCACGGCAGATTTGCCCGTTTTCACGGTTCCCCCCCAAGAGCTCCCTACGAGCAGCAAGAGTAGATCCACGGGAATTTTAATTGGTGGGAGGGTTTTTGTGCACCACTGGGTCGCAGTGCCCTGGCAACGGTGGCGGAGCAGAGAAACTAAACTGCTGGTTGTACTTCATTAGGACTTAATGGGATTCCTGGAAGTCTTTGAACCACACTGGGGAACGAAAGACTGAAGTTGTGCTATGTTGCTGCCCCTTTGCAGCACGATGGTCACTACTTTGAAGTGAGGATTTTTCAGACATATGAAATAAAACAAAATATAATATAATATAATATAATATAATATAATATAATATAATATAATATAATATAACACATATACGTGTTTTATGGTATCTTGCTCGTGCCCCCCTCCCAGCAAACTATTTAAGCTCAGTTTGACGCTGTCTCAGAGCCAGGCCTGTGCCAACATCTGCTCGGTTTTTTCCCTACCACTGAAGTGTACAGCAAGTGATCTTTTAGTACAGTTACAGACTCCCCCTCATTCGCTTTACATTACTGTAACCCATCTGCGAACAATTAGACAAACCGCACAGCAAAGGTAAACTGTATTCCCCCTAAAACTTTCTACAGATGTGGAGTTAATATTGTTATTGTAATAACAATATCCCAATAATAAGAGCGTGAAAGTGTGAGCCATGTTTACACTTTCAGTTTTATTCTGTGGATGGCTTCCATTTGGCCCGAGGGCGTTTTTTTTTCTTTTCTTTTCTTTTTCTTGATTTTTAAAAAAAAAATGTCTTTTTTGAAAAAAGTGTTTATTATTTTAATGTGTTTAATGTCTGTTTTGGATCATGCGCACTGCTACACATGATCAGCAACGAGACACACTAAAATAAACAATATTTTGCCCAAATTTCTGACTTTAACTAAATATTTACGTGTAAATCTTCTTTGTGGTTTGCTTACATAAGAACAGTGTTAACTATTACATTTAATGGGATCTAGTTACATTTAAATTTACCTGATATATATTCAGTTTATACTAAGCGCATTTTCCTTAATTATTTTTATGAATTAACCTTCGATTCTACGCTAAATTATTGCTGCATCCTTTTTGTTGAAACTTCAAATTTTTATTTTTTGTAGCGCTGAGATAAATGTCCTTCAGACTGCATGTCTCAGTCAGCAAATGTGCTACAAAGATGTGTAATATTACGTTAGAAAATGAAACCAGATGATTGGCCAGTGGGTAATGTTGTTGTTGTTGTTGTTGTTGTTGTTGTTGTTGTTGTTGTTGTTGTTGTTTAAATTAATTCTCAAAAATCAGCCCCAAAAATCAAGGATTGATTATCCACTGCAGGAGAGCGTAAAACCGTGTGGCCTCGTCACCACTTTGCTGAATTACCCAGACGGTGCCACATGCATATCTGGCTCATCGTATGGTAGCTTGAGTGGTCAAAGAGAACACTTAAAATACCGCTAGAATTTGTGATTTATAGGCTCCAGATTTCAGTCACTGTCTGCCTCATCGCAAACAAATAAACGAACGAATGTCTCTTGTCTATCCTGTGCGCTCAAAACCATGAACAGAGAAGAAATGACACATATTACGAGAATCGTCTTAATTATATCAGCATGCCGGAACTTTTACTCAGCCCTTCCTCCCATTCTTGTTCAGACACAAACCGGATTGCAGATTTCTTATCACACACTGTTCTTTCTGTGAAAAAACAGTTTGAACAATTCAGCCGTAATTACACTTTCTAGCTGCTGGTTTCCAGCTGCTGTGGATGTTTCTGCAACTTACACTTTGCCCCGCATTGCTACTTTCCACTGTGCATAATCCTGCCCACATGCATGGCACCTTGTTTCAGAATCATTAACCAACTTACAAGAAGCTTACCTACTGCTGTTTCATTTTACGTCTGTGATGGCACTTATGTTTATTGACTACAAAGTAAGTTCTGCTAGCACAAAGATGAATATCAACAGCCTAACAGTGGGCAAAGCCACAGGAGCTTGGTTTGATCTGGCAGTATTTGGCTTTAGTTTATTTGAATGGTTGTTGAATCATTTTAACAGAAGCCCACAAATATATTAACTTAGTAATACACTCCCCCATTAAACCCCCCATTGCCAGGATTTAACTAAGCAAACAGATAAGAGCCTTCCACTGGACAGTTACTGCAGCAATGATTCACCTCACAACAGCTGAATTCAGCACTGAGTTCTCATTTCTTCAACATCTGTGTCAGTAGGCATATCCTGTGGTCGCGGTAAAAGATGTTTATCATTTTCAGAAGAGTCAAAATGTTGGCCTGTGTCAAGCAAAGAAAACGCCCAAGATTGCTGAAACTACTAAAACTGGGTTAACTCTCTGACACACTATTAAAACTAGGAAAGATAGCGGTGACCAAACATCTAGAAATCAACTGTAGAGCTCACATTTGAGCTCACATTTATGAAAATGAGAGCATTTCAATATACAATATGAAGAAAACTCAACAAACTGGGATTAAACAGCTGTGAGCCTTAAGAAAAGTACTTATCAGTGAGGCTTGAAAAAAAAAGCCTTACTGAGCATAAAGGTTGGCATCTGGAGTGATGTGAGAAGATCATGTAGTCTGATAAAGATTAAAGTGATGGGAGCATCAGTGTCAGAGGAGAGCTGATGAAGCAATACTCAGCTGTCATGCCTGGTGTCTACCGAACAAGCCTGAGCAGTGCAGTGGGTGATGCTGTGATCTGGGGCTGCGTCAGCTGGTCGGGTCTTGGTTCATCGGTGTAATAAGGCCAAAAAACTGAGCTCAGTTGACAATATGAATATACTGAATCAAACAGGCACAGGCATATTTAGATTCAGACAAAGCCAGAGTTCACTGGGCTCAAATTGTGCAAGAGTGATTTAGGGAACATGAAATATCACGTTTCTCTTCGGCCCACTGAGAACCTTCGGGACATCCTGGAGGAGACTTTGGGCAGCAGTCACACTTGACTGATCTCTTTGACATCAGAGGGCTCTTGTGGTTTACAGGATCAAACCTAATTGGACTTTTTCCTCTAAACAGCATGCGAGCACTTAGCTTCTCATGTTGCCATATCAGGGTAACACTTTGCTGGCTCTGCACTTTGACATAACATTTTCAGCTGCAGGTAGTATTTTGAGCAAATGGTAAAAATATATCAGCAACAATACCCATGAGGAGAATCAAGTTTACATTTTATTCGCCACATGCAGTGACAGGTTGCCCTGCAGTGGAACGAACCCGTCCCCCGACCTTACGCACACAACACAGACATCACACGGGGATATAAGTGAGTGCTTATCAGTGTGTGCGTGTCCATAGTTCAGCTGACGAAGATCACATCGACCATCTCAGATTTAATGAAAGCAAATTTATTTTCCTTTTCCTTTGTTAATTTCAGGGTTTGGTGTCTTTGACTACATCCTGTATGGCATCTTGACCTTCATGGCAACAGTTTCTTTGCTGGTCTTCTTAGAGGAATGTATCTACATCTATAGGAAAGTACCTGCCAATAAGAAGAGTCTCATCATCTGGGTGAATGGAGCAGCACCGGTGAGAACAGTTTGCAGAAAAGAAACAGATGACACAAACGTATACCTGGATCTTTAATTGACGCTTGTCTCATTTTTTCAGGCGATTGGCACCATGTCATGTCTGGGGATGTGGTTCCCCAGAGCTACCCTGTTTACTGATATGTTCTCTGGCTGGTGGGTTTTTATTTCTTTTCCCCACTCGTCCCTTCTCTTTTACTCACCCTCCGTTTCCCACTGTGCTGTGTGTCTCTCTGACCAGCAGAGTCCTGCTGTGAAAGATAATAGTGAAACCTGAACCTCAGAACCTACAGAAAAACTGAAAACAGGAGTGCTGTTAAGTACTGTGTGACGTGTCATTTACTTTTCTACTACTCTTCCAGAGCCCTCCTCCAAAAACCTCTTTCTCTTATTCTTCCTACATTCCTAGATTTCATTCCCATGTTCCTTGTTTCCATTTACCTGCCTCTCTTTCACCGTAGTTACTTTGCCATCGTGGTGTTCAAGTTCCTGATCCTGATGGTGGAAGAGTTGGGTGGCGACGAGGCGTTTCTGAAGCGTGGAGGAAAATATAAACTGAAGATCAGCACGGGGCCTTGTTGCTGTTGCTGCTGTTGCCTGCCAGAGGTGGCCATCACACGGTAAATCCACAAGTGACACCGTCACTTTTCTGCTTTAGTTTTCTGTCGTGTAAGCTGAAAGCAAATCTACTTGTTTTTTAAAACGCAAATGACTAACTTCTGGAGAGCACTCAGCAGATGCAGATCTTCAGAATAGTCACTAAAGCTGATGATGATGATGATGGACGTCTTCCGATCTTGGTTTTTTGTTATTCTTGGCAAAAGAGCCTTTTTCTTTGGTAGATTTTTTTCCTCCTTGGTAGGTAGGCTATAAACACCAGATTAAATAAACTAGATTAAACCTCATGGCTAAGTTTGGCTTTTAAAGGAGCATGTCAACATCCGCAAAAGTTCTCTGAAAGCAGTCAGAGAGATCTGAAAGCAATTTTGCCAGTGCAATCAAGCATGAGCTCTCGTGTTTGCTTGTAGTCCAGGCTTATTTTATTGAAGTTTTACGTATAAGGAAGAATAGCCTTGAAATGGCGCGTTCACCTGCGCCGTAGTTTCTATTTATTTACTGTCCACATTTAATAGTTCCAGCGAAGGGTGGTCAGTTTCCAAATATGTTTCCACCGATGCTTTGATATTGGGCAATTGCTCGAGAACAGGCAGATGGCAACAACCTGGAATGCTAATGAAGCACAGACCATGGCGGGTGGCTTTGAAGTAGTTTGCACCCCCGTTCAAACATTACACAAACACAGAGCCTCTTTGCATAGAGCATTGAATTCACACTAGAGCTTCAGTCTGGTTCTCAGAATCCAGGTTGCACTACTGGTCATTCAACTTGTTCGGGGTGGGGCAGCATTTACAGAACAGACATATCACCCCCCTGTTTTGCAGAAAAAAGCCAAGTGGCACCATGTGTTGCAATGGACTTTCTGATTTGGCCATTTTAATCAGATACAGGAGTCGCACACTGGTTTGTCTGTCTGTCTGCAGAATGCATTATCTGAACAGAGCTGACCTGGCGTCCCAGTTCAGTTTCATCCCTTAGAGAAGTGCCGATCTATGAACGCATTACTTTTGAAGCCTAAAGATGATGACCAGACAGAACAGCCGCTGCAATTAAAGTTCACAGTTAATGGCGATAGAAATGTTCGCTCCCAGTTCTGCTAATATGAACTTGATTGTAGTTTCAGTGTATAGAAAGGATAGATTCCAGGCCAAAGATCAAAAAGACCAAGGGGTCTAAACAAATAAGAAAAAGGGTGAACATGCCACATATTTGGCCACACAAGCATTATCTTCTTCCCACGTAGTTTCTTGGAATGAGGCCACACTGTTGCCAGGCAGTGACAGGCAAATGTGCAAAGTTAACAAAAAATCCTTTTAAAGCCTTCATTCTGCATTGCAAGATGATGACAATCAAGCCAGGGCATGCTCAGCTACTTATACTGTGCCCCGTTTTTATGTTTAAAAAACCCCCACTAATGCACCTCAGAAGCACAATGTTGTTTTGGTTGCGTAACCGCAGTCAAATCTTGACATGCCAGCAGCACACAGAGATGTGTCCAGATCCACTCTTTATTGCTCCAGACATCCTGAAGTAATGTTCGAGGGCAGGTACAGTGGAACTGCACAATGAACTTTTTGTGTTTTTTACTGTAAATCAGAGGTTAGATTATTCCGGGTCATCCGCAGATAATGAAATGGTTTCCTCTGTTTCGTCTCCAGACGCTCTCTCTTCCTGCTCAAACTTGGCTCCATCCAGTTTGCCGTCCTGAAGACTGCCTTCACCATCTTTTCCATTGTTCTCTACACCAACGACAACTACCATGTGAAGGATGTGAGTTGAAAGCACAGAAATGTAAACAACTATCTCTCCAAATACAAACCCAATTCTGAAACAGTTGGGGTGCTGTGTAAAGATTTTAAAATCTCACAAACAAATTTAATATTCACAATAGAATATTTTTAAAAGACATCAAATTTCTTAACCGTACCATTTTAGAAAAAAAAAATCATCTCATTTTGAATGTGGTGGCAGCAACACGTCTCCAACAATTTGGGACAGAGGCAACAAAAGGCTGGAAAATTCAAGTGTTTTTTTTTTTGGGGGGGGGGGGAATATAGACGCCACATTCTCTGGACTAAAGAGGAGAGGAACCATCCAGCTTGTTATCAGTGTTCAGTTCAAATTCCTTCATCCCTGATAGGATGGGGTTACATTAGTTCCTGTAGAATTGGCAACTTGCACATCTGGCGCCAGCAGTGCTGAAAAACATATAAAGGTTTTAAAGACACATATACTCTCATCCAGATGTATTTTTCAGGGAAGGCTTTGAATATTTCAGCAAGATACTGCATACTGCAGCTATTACAACAGATGGCTTTATAATAAAAAAGTCCAGGTGTTGAACTGGCCTGTCTGCAGGCCCAAACCTTTCACTAACGGAAAACATCTGGCACATCATGAAATAGAAAATACAGGAAAGAAGGACTGTTGGGCAACTAGAATCCTATATGGTGTAGAGCAGGGCTGCGTTAACGGTTCATTAAAATTTGGCGTCTGAAACAGAAATAGAAGCAATCAAATTATTACCCCATCAGGGACATAATTCAAAGACACCATTAAAAAAATTATGCATCAGATTTCCCACAAATTTTAAAGCAACAACTTAATATGGTACTCAGTTGTCTGAATGGCCCCCACGAGTTTGTATACATGCCTGAACATCTAGTTTAGATTTTTGGATTTTTGTTTTAATTGGGGCATGCTCCTAATGAGATGAAAGATGGTGCTCTGGAGAATCTACTTCCTAAATCTGGACCAGAGTATCACTGAGCTCCTGCACAGCTTCAGCTGGGACCTGGAGGCGTCGTTTAGACCGAAACATAATGTACTATTGCTACATAAGGCCAGGCATTGTCGTACACCAGGAGGAATCCAGGACCCACTGCACCAGCTTAGGGTCTGACAGTGGGTCCAAGGATTTCACTCCGATAATGGACGTTAGGGGGCCGTTGTCTAACCTGTAGAGATCTGTGCGTCCCTCCATGGATATGCTTTTGCAGACCATCACTGACCCACTGCCAAACCGATCATGCTGAACGATGTTACAGGCACCATAACGTTCTCCATAACTTCTCCAAACTCTTTCACATCTGTCACATGTGCTCAGGGTAACCCTGCTCTCATCTGTGAAAAGCACAGGGCAACAGAGATGGACCTGCCAATTCTCTTATTCTATTGCAAACTCAATCAGGCTCAGTGGCGCTGGGCAGTGAGCACAGGGCCCAAAGGACATCCTGTCCACGGGCCACCCTCATGAAGTCTGCTACTGATTTTTTGGTCATAGACAATTACGACAATGGCCTGACGGAGGTCATCTTGTAGGGCTCTGGCAGTGCTCATCTTGCTCCTCTTTGCAGAAAGGAGCACATACCAGTCCTGCTGATGGGTTAAGGACTTTCTTTGACCCTGCAAAATTACTTTAGGAGAGATGTACATGTAAATTCCAGGAGCACGCTGTTGAAACATAGCAAACCTTCTGCTACATGCTGATGTGCTCTCCTGGAGGACTTGGACTACCTGTGCAACCTATGCAGTGTCCAGGTATACCCTCATACTGACCCTAGCCAAATGCAAAATCTAGTGAAAATCTTTCAGTGGTCGCCATCTGTAAAAGCAGTCCTGTCTTGGTGGTTGTCTCATTGTTTCATCTCTTGTGCACCTGCTGTTACTGTCATTTCATGAACACCAAAGCAGCCAAAACTGCTACATAAACGATCAGATCAGTGTCCCAGTATTTTAACTGACTTAATGCTATCCTCTGATTAAAAATAGTTCATTTAATTCTTTTAAGCCGTGTGTAAACTCAAGTTACTCATGTCCATTTATACTCATGCACAGCCCTCAACACGCTCCTGGAAACATTCCTGTGAGATTTTTGCCCATATCCACATGATTCTATCACAGTTAGCATCTGCAGATTTGTTGGCTGCACGTCCATGATATCAATCTACCGTTCCACTGCATCTCAAAGATGCTCTGTTGCATTAAGATCTGGTGATTGTGGAGGGTGTTTGAGGACAGCAAACTCATTGTTGTGTCCAAAAAAGCAGTTTCAGATGATTTGAGCTTTGTGGCATGGTGTGTTATCTTGCTGAAAGCAGCCGTTACAGGATGGGTACACTGGTCATAAAGGGATGGACACAGTCAGCAACAATACTCAAATAGGCTGTGGTGTTTAAACATCTCCCACACCATTACACCAGCAGCCTGAACTGGGTGAATCCAGTCTTTCATACCAAATTCTGACCCTACTGTCCAAATCTCAGAGCAGAATTGAGACTTATCAGACCAAAGAGCATATTTCCAATCTTCTATTGTCCAATTTTGGTGAGCCTGTGTGAATTACAAAAGTATCACTTTTGAATTACTGATGCCTTTCTTTCCATTCAAAGCAATTCACTACCAAACCTAGGCATCAACCAGGCATTTTAACCCAGGGAACAGACAAGATATTATTCTTTATAAACCCTAGTGTGAGAAAATCCCAGAAGATCAGCAGTTTCAGATCAGGGCGTCTGGCACCAACAACCATGCCACATTCAAAGTTATGCAAATCGTCTTTTTTCCTCACTCTGATGCTCGAACTTCAGTAGGTCATCTGGTCCATGTCTACATGCCTAGGTGCAATAGCAGTTGAGTTGCTGCGATGTAATTGGCCAATTAAACATTTGTGTTTAGGAACATCCCCATAATTATTATTAGTCCTTATACACCTCATCCCCCATCACACTGAACACTGGTGCTCCACAGGGGTGTGTACTGAGCCCTCTCCTGTACTCACTCTACACCTACGACTGCACAGCCACTAACAGCTCCAACATCATTGTGAAGTTTGCGGACGACACTACAGTGGTGGGTCTTATCACCAACGGTGATGAGACGGCTTACAGGGAGGAGGTCAGCGCCCTGACCCACTGGTGTCAAGACAACCATCTCACCCTCAACGTCGCAAGGACAAAGGAGTTGATAGTGGACTTCCGGAGGTGCAGAGAAGTACACACCCCATCACCATCAACGGCGCTGCTGTGGAGAGAGTGAGCAGCTTCTGGTTCCTTGGCGTACACCTGGCTGAGGATCTTACGTGGTCAGTACACACAAACAAAACAGTGAAGAAGGCGCAGCAGCGCCTCTTCTTTCTCAGGAGACTGAAAAGATTCGGCATGAGCCCCCGCATCCTCAGGACCTTCTATCGCTGTGCCATTGAGAGCATCCTCACTGGATGCATCACCACCTGGTATGGCAACAGCACCGCCTACAACTGCAAAGCTCTCCAGCGAGTAGTGCGGTGCTCTGAACGGATAATTGGAGGTGAGCTTCCCTCCCTCCAAGACATCTACAGGAAGCGCTGCCTGAGGAAAGCGGGGAGGATCATCAAGGACTCCAGTCACCCCAGCCATAAACTGTTCAGACTGCTTCCATCAGGAAGGAGGTTCTGCAGCATCCGGTCCCGTACCAGCAGACTGAGAGACAGCTTTTTCCATCAGGCCATCAGACTGCTGAACACGTCATAGACACCTCAGCTTCACTACTGGAACTTCAACATTATGCACTCCACACTGTATATAAATGCCACTTGTTTTGCACATATTCAACTCTGTATATTTTATATATTTTATTATTATTATTATTATTATTATCTTATTTTATTTTTTACTATTTAATTTGTAAAAATGTGTATACACACACACACACACACACACACACACACACACACACACGTAGGAAAATATTTAGTATACACATCCAGAAATGCATACACTATTATATATTGTACATATATTTATTAGTTTCAGGTTGGCCATTCTTGTATTTTGCTCGTTTGTGTTGTTGTGTTTGCACATCTCTGTTGCTTGTGGGGCTCGCACACAAGAATTTCACTCGCATGTGCTGTGCCAGTGTGCCTGCACATGTGATGTGACAATAAAAAGTGATTTGATTTGATTTGATTTACAATATAATATGTATATTATAGCTCATTATGGCTGTAGCTCAGGTGGCAGAGCAGGTCAGCCACTAATCAGAAGATCGGTGGTTCGATCCCAGGCTGCCTCCTTGCTGCATGCCAAATATCCTTGGGCAAGATACTAACCCCATGTTTGCCTACTGGTGGTGGTCAGAGGGCCCGGTCAGCGCGCCCCAGGGCAGCTGTGGCTACAACGTAGCTTGCCATCACCAGTGTGTGAATGTTTGTGTGAATGGGTGAATGACTGAATGTAGTGTAAAGCGCTTTGGGGTCCTTAGGGACTGAGTAAAGCGCTATACAAATGCAGACCATTTACCATAATATCCTGTACAGACATGTGAAAAATATACAATAACAAATTAAGTAAGAGCGACATTAAAAACAATCACACTAACTAAAAGAATTATTCTCTCGTTCCGTTAAGATGGATTTAAACTCTCCCAACGTAACCAGTTGAACTGGTATTCCTAATAAAGTGCCCAGTGACAGTAAAATGTAATTGAAACTACCCTGAAATCCTGATAAAGCCGTTTTCATTTCTGTATTTTTGTTGTTAGTTTCTATTAAACCCTGATTCTTTTGTCCCCATGATAGAACAGAGAAAACCGATTCATAGTGTGTTAAAACATTTATATTTCTTTTTATTCAATCATCTTCCGGAAGAGAGAGACCCCTGCGCAGCCCAAACGCCAGTTGCAGGATCTCTCACATTAGAATCATAAACTGTGTCTCATATAGGTATTATTATGGTACTTTACACTTCACAGTTTCAATACAACCATTGCTTATATGGCAAAGTTCCTCTTTTCTGTCTGGTTTCCTGTATTCATTAATATACTGTACAGCTCTACACTTCCTGTTTTCAGTCTGGCTGAGCACTTAGTTTATGAGTCAAAAGTGGTCTTGCTCTACAAACTTTCATTATTAAAGTACATAAAACAATATAATAAGAAAATAAGGATACTAAGGATATATTAATTACATGACATTTCTCATGTCAGCTGACAAAGCTCTGCTTATAGTACTGTTAAACCAATATTATAACTCCAATTTTGTATGAAAAAGATAAATCACCATATTCATATGTTAAAGACAATGGCCAAACTCTGTTTTGACCATTTTTATATAAAATGTGTGTGTGTGTGTGTGTGTGTGTGTGTGTGTGTGTGTGTGTGTGTTGTTGTTGCAGGCAAGTGCTACAGGAGATGCAATATGGATCAACTGTTTTGTAGGCGTCTTGACAATCACAGGTTTGTGGCCTGTTGGCATCACGTTTATACACCTGAAGAACACCCTGCGAACAATAAAGATCGTCCCGAAATACGCCATGTATCAGGTAAGACACTGATCAAGCACATGTGCACACTTTTTGGATAAAGACTAATAACAGATTTGAAAGACTGTTTTACCAGGATAACACAAGCTGCAACTACAATTAGTCCTTATATGTTTTCATTTGTGTCGTTAGCTGCTCCTGATTCTTACCCAGCTGCAGACAGCTATTATCAACATCTTGGGCATGAATGGCATCATCGCCTGCTCTCCACCTTTCCCCTCATCTATCAGAGGATACAGTGAGTTTACATCCATCTATCCAGTCAGACCAATCATCCACATATTTACAGTTCCATATATATTTGGACACTGACACAAGTTTTATTTTTGTATGTGTTTACTGAAACACATTTCGATCATAGTTAAATAATATACTTGGACATAATGTGTAAACTCCTTTCATTTGCGGGTATCCACATTCAAACTGGAGGTAGGGTTTAGGTATTCCAGCTCCTTAGCATATGCCATCTTCTTTTTAAAGCGACCAAATGTAATTGGACTATTAATTCAAAGGCTATTTATTGGGGCAGGTGTGGGCAATTCTTGAATATGTCATTATCAGTTAAGCAGATAAAAGAACTTGAGTTGATTTAAGGTGTGGTTCTTGCATTTGAAAGATTTTGCTGTGAACAGACAAAATGTGGTCAAAGGAGCTCTCCGTGCAGGTGAAATAAGCCATCCTTAAGCTGCAAAAACAGAAGAAAAAAAAAACATCTGAGAAATTGCTGCAATATTTGGAGTTGCAAAATGTACATACAGTTTGGTGCATCCTGAGAAAGAAAGAACGCACTGGTGAACTCAACAATGCAAAATGGACCTGGATGTCCAAAGAAGACAACAGTGGTGGATGATCAGAGTCATTTCCACGGTGAAGAGAAATCTCTTCACAACAGCCAACCAAGTGAACAACACTCTCCAGGATGTAGGCCCATCGATATCCAAGTGTACTATAAAGTGAAGACTGCATGAAAGTAAATACAGAGGGTTCACTGCGAGCTGCAAGCCACTCATAAGCCTCAAGAATAGAAAGGCTAGATTTGGGTTTTGCTAAAAAATAAAATAAAATTAAAAAAACATCTCAAAAAGCCAGCACAGTCCTGGAAAAACATTCTTTAGACAGATGAAACCACAATCAACCTCTACCAGAATGATGGCAAGAAAAAAGCAAGGAGAAGCGTAAAACGCCTCATGTCTCTGAATCCAAAGCAAACAATATCTATAACACACGGCGGAGGCAAGTGTGATGGCTTGGTCGTGCATGGCTGCCAGTGGCACTGAGACACTAGTGTTTATTGATGACGTGACACAGGACAGAAGCAGCATAAGTTCTGAAGTGTTCAGAGGCATACTGTCTGCTCAAATCCAGCTCAATGCAGTAAAATTGATTGGGCGGCATTTCAAAATACAGATGGAGAATAACCCAAAACTCGCCAAAGGAACTCAGGAGTTTTATTAAAGCAAATAAGTAGAGTATTCTTGAATGGCCAAGTCAGTCAGCTGATCTTAACTCGGTTGAGCATCCATTTCACTTGTCGAAGACTAAACTTTGGACAGAAAGGCTCACAAACACACAGCAACTGAAAGCCACTGCAGTAAAGGCCTAGTAGAGCATAAAAAGGAGGAAACCCAGCATCTGGTGATGTCCATGAGCTCAAGACTTCAGGCTGTCATTGTCAGCAAAACCATTAAAAATAAACATTTTATTTTCACTTATTTAATTTGTACAATTACTTTAGAGCCCCTGGTATGAAGGTATTGTGTTAAAAAATACTCTAGTTCCTCACATTTTTAGGCAATCTTTTTGTTCCCCCACTGAATTAAAGCTGAAATTCTGCACCTCAACTGCATCTGAGTTGTTTCATCTAAAGTCACTGTGGGTAATTTACAGAACCAAAATAAGAGAAAAAAAGCAGTCCCAATCTAACTGTATCATATTTAGCATGCATCAGTATCCTTATTTTTTACCAGTAACCCTGTGACAGCTGAGCTTCGTTGTGCCCTTATTCTGCTTTCGCAGTGATGAGCCAGCAGCTGCTGATCATGGAGATGTTCATCATGACGATGGTGACACGGCTGCTCTATAGACGACAGTACGATCCTTTACCTGAAGAGCAGGATGCCAATGAAAACACCAGGATGACTGACTTAACACAGTCTCCATGAGAGCTAAATTGTGTTAATGTGTGTGTGTGTGTGTGTGTGTGTGTGTGTGTGTGTGTGTGTGTGTGTGTGTTTGATTCATATTTTCTTTCTAGTATTTGATTAAGACATTGCATATATTCAAAATAACAAATATGAATTATATGTAAATGGGTCGTGTAGCTACTCACTAAGGTTACCGGGCTGCGAGTCCGCTACAAAGTGTTGATTGACAGGATACTCAGGTCATGTACAGGCATGTGAAATTAATAAGAACATCCCGTGGAAATGGACTGACTCTCTTTGAAAACCTGCATTTTTTTTTCATACACAGTAAGTGGGACTAAAAAACAAAACAGTTGAAAGAACATTTTGCAGAGTATCTGGTTATCTGGCAACAGAGCAGCAAAATTACTGCAAATAAAAAGAGCATCTTAGAGAGGCAGAGTTTCTCAGAAGTAAAAAATTGGCAGAGGTTCACCAATCTGCAAAAAAATCAAAAATCAGAATGATGTTCCTCAATGTAAAATTGCAAAGACTTTGACTATCTCAGCATCTACGGTGCCTGATGTCATCCAACGATTCAGAGAACCTGGAGAAATCTCCGTGCACAAGTGACAAGACCAAAAATCGATATGGATGCATGCGATATTCAGGTTGTAAAACGACACTGCATTAAAAACAGGTGTCATTCTATCATGGAAATATCTGCACAGGCTCAGGAACACTTCCAGAAATCACTGTCTGTGAATACAGTTCACTGTACTGTACACAAAAACAGGTACAGGCAATAGCTTGAAGAGTTCAAATACAGCTTTACTAAAGACTCCGACATTGGACTTGTTTTGTCCTAGAGCTCTTAGTGCTACATTTGACACCACATTCTCACATTTTCGAGGTCATTTTTTGTGTAATAACACTTGTATACACCCTTTCCCCCCCCCAGAAGAACCCTTTAGTTTTCCTCCAAAACATAATCTGCATTGAGACACAGAACCACATCTGACTGCCAGAAAACATGTTCTTAATTAAGTGGTATCGGGGGGGTTGTTTTAGGAGATGTTTTATTTTACAAATATGGGATTTCCCCATAATTTACCAGAGATGTTGCTGAAAGAAATATGTAGGCTAATTTGATACCATTTAAGTAATGGCTTGTAAAGTACACAAGTGAAAGAAAGCCTTTGTCTGTGGAGATTTCAATGCATGATTTCCTTACGCTTGCGAAACAGATAAAGGAAAAAAGCTGGAACAGCATCATAAATCCTCACTGATGGATGCTGGTTCTCATCTACTTGAGGTCATTGCAATGGTGCTCAGTTACAAGAAGACAACACTACAGAAAAATAAAGCAAAGCAAATGTTTTAAAAAATCACCAAAGTTCAGATGAGTGAAGTATCAAGTACTGTGCAAAAGTCTTGAGTTAGCCTCACTAACTCAAGACATGAAGCAATATTCGATCTACACATAACAAACTTAAAAAGAGGCTTTTGTTACTAGCAGACAGTTCCCAAAACATATCATTTGTTTGCATTTCTTTAGGTGATTCGATAAAAAATGTTAAACTTAAAGTGTGACAGGCATAAAACGGTATTTTCTTCCTCCACTTGTCTAGTTTTCTCTATTTTTAGGGCACACTGCCCATAGATACGCCAAGTCTTCGACTATGTACAGCAAATGAACAGTATTTAAAAGACGTGTTCTTAAGAAACAGGAAGAAAAAAATCAAAGACCTGACACGTGCATCTTCTGAGCCATCTGCTGTTGACAGAAATGGTCTCAGTGGATGTTTGGCTCTGAAAAAGCTGTACTTAAATATTTCAGATTATCAAAAATGGACTTAAAATTAGTGATGGCAGGTTTTATGACAGTAAATAAATGTAATATTTTTTTCTTGAATCGTCGTCAATAAATGTGGAAGAAGTCTGGCGAGATGGTCAACATTGAATGTCTTCAGCTATCTCTGTCATGATTTGGAGATGCGGTGTTGCGGATCTTCTCAAAACGGACGGATTACACGTGCATAAAAGGTCATATTTTGATTCATTATACCACAACCGTGAGTACCATGATTGGCAATAACTTTCTTTTTCAGCATGACAATGATCCCAAACACTCTGCCACTGGCACCAAGTTTACAATGAGCTTTAAATGCTATTTGAGAGAACTGAAGACTGCTTTAAAAGTAATGACAAGAAAGCTTGGCTAACGGAATTTAAGCTGTATTGAAGAATATAGGTGGTCATACCAAGCACTAACAGTAAAGCTTGTTACAGCTGTACTTCCAGTACATTTGCTTATATTTCAGTGTACACGTTGAACCTATTAATCACTTTAGTAACAAAATACAAAGAAATGAGGAGTGGCTTTAGACGTTTGTGCAGTACTGTATTTTAATATTCATTTATTATTAAAAAAAATTTGTCCATTACATGCTGACATTTTACAGTTTAACATCAGCGTACCTGCAATCCTCCGACTCCCTGGGTTACAAAGAGAATTGGAAATAACTAGCAGGCCAATTTTAAAGTCTTTCTAAAAAGTTGAATTAGCATTAAATTTAAAAAAGGTGATTGTTTTTTGTTTTGTTTTGGGTTTTTTTGGAAAACTATAGGTGCCCAAATAGAGTATTATTAAATGCATATAATGCACATATGTATGCATGAATGTATGATATGTTGGCCTACTTTAACTATTCACATGTGGTTATTTTAAAAAGGTAATGTTCTAACAGTTCTCCGCTGTGGTGTTTGCTCTCTGGTCCAATACAGTCATTGCTCTGGCCACTGTAGATTTTTAAAATATTGCCTCGCTAGGGGGCAGTAAAAACAACAAAAACAGTAAGGGCCTTGTTTTTCGTTTCAAAAGAACCACAATCTGTTTACATCGTGTTAAAAATGGTGCCCAAGCCTGCTCTTCACCCACAATCTAACGTTCTGTACCCCCCAATTCTAACATCCACTGCCCGCTGACTGCGCATGAACAGATAAACAGGTATGTAGACGTTAATGACGTTGACTGACAAGCCTCTGACCAATAACATTGTCGAATTTGTCGCTCCTCTCTTGGAGCCAATCGCGGCTGTGAATCCACAAGCCTGCACCAAGTGCGGTTGAGTCGACGTTTTCGAAGGTACGTGCTGTCCACAAACGTCAATGGAAATCAATTGCACCGGATGTTTATAGATCAGCTCTTCAAATTAAAAGCTTTTGCCTCTACGCAGGGATACATTTAACTACACCTAAAAGTATTTCATTTATGAATTGGTTTACGGTGTTATTATTTATTTTTAATGCGAAAACACAAAAAGGAAACCTGTTGCAAGACAAAAAAATAATAATTTTACCTAAAAAAAAAAATAATTTTTTTAATACGAACTTCATACAACCTTCAACAAGGATATGTCCAAAGACATTTGCTTTGGGTTTACATTGATAATGTCATTGTAATTTTAAACGAGTGATAAGTGACCCTTATAGACCACGTATACACCAGTAATTAAGTAAATTCCTTTTTTAAAAAGCATGGTGTTTCTGTTAAGCGACAGAATTTGTGTATAAATGCAAGTCATGGGTCGGGAGGGAGACTTTAAATAATAATCCCAAGTATAAGAACATAATGTTTTATCCGTTAAAATGAATAAACCATTTAAGTTTAACTCTTTATTGTCCTTGCACGGTCATACTTTGCACAACAGTACACCAAAATTGTTGTATTGTATGGAACTCCAAAGTGTTCAAAATTAAATAAATAAATAGGTCAAGATGAAATAAATAACTATGTGAATAAATAAGACACAGATATGTAATGTGAGAATGACCCACATCAGTGCTAAAGAAATGCATGCAAAACACAATAGATAAATAAGTACCATATATACAGAATTAAATATATACAGTATGTGCAGAAAATGAAATATGCAATATGCTAATTGATTTAATAAATATTAATCATTTTATTTGATTATATAAAACTAATAAATGTTGTTGCCAGGTTTTCCAATTTACACCTCCTTGCAGCTTGCAGTGTTGCCCTATAGATGGTATAAAATATTACGAAATATACTGCGCATTCTTTCTTTACTTTGAAAAGTATGGCATGAAGTCGTCACGTCACTGCGAGGGGATTTGCAGAGCTGAGCGTGCAGCAATGTAGATCCAGGAAGCCGTTCCTGTCGCTTGTATCCTATCCTGTAACCTTATGGAGCTGGCTCTGTCGCGTCGCATCGTCTCCTCCGCCGTGGCCGGTGGAAATGTGGCCGCCCCTGGGAGAAACGCACCGTCCGAGCATCTGTCCGCCTTCTCCTAATTTCTTCTCTCGCACATCATCGCTAAAACTTTCAATATGAGGATCTTCTGGTCTTTGCTGAAAAACAGCAACCCCAAAATCGAGTATTACTCCAGATTTTCACCGTCCCCGCTCTCCATCAAGCAGTTTTTGGATTTCGGTGAGTAAAGGCATCGCCTGGCACCTTTAGAGGACTTTAATGACTTGTAGAGGGTGGAGGATTTGGTGGAAGGCCCTTTTGTGTGTTTTTGTCATCTCATCAGTCGCAGCTGTGGACCTGAAGAGTCACACGCAAGCCCCGGCTCGTTATTAATAGAAGGGAACATTAGACTTTCTTACGGTCAGGTGTGTTAAACGTAGAGATCGCCTGCAGTGAAGCAGCCACATATAAACAGAGGACGGTCCTCTGTCCTGTGCGGATTTGTTTACGTTGTAAACAAGTATTGACAGGCACCCTAACGCATGCAGGTATTCTCAGTCAGACTGGCACAGCAGCACGTATGCAGTGGAGGGGCCAGCAGCCCTGCTCCTGTTGCCAAGATGCTCAGGAAGCCTTTAGTCATTTTATTTATTTTCACTTGTGTCTTAGTGAGGTCGCTCTAGAGCATGAGTCATTGCAGATTGATGTTTTTTTAAACGTATTTCTGGTTAATACCCCCCGATTTCAGTTCCCCTCTATTGCACCAAGACATGTAGAAATCACACCAGTCGCAATGTGTGCCACAAGACGACGGTTATTAATGGTGCAGAAGCACTCAAGGCTTTCCTTAATCCGCCTCTTGATTAAACGCTGGCATGTCTGTTGCGTAATTTGTTCTCGCAGCTGTGGATGTAGAATGCGTGACGGCAAGTGTGCCGCACTTGTTTGCTTTAAGGAGAACCCCTGCTTGGCACCAAGAGAGCCAAAACATATCGGTGTCTGTGTTTCACTCTGGAGCACGTTAGACGTCATCCAGGGATAGTCGCCACCAGTGTTGGTCAAGTTACTTGAAAAAAGTAATCAGTAACTAATTACTGATTACTCCCCCCAAAAAGTAATCCCGTTACTTTACTGATTACTTATTTTCAAAAGTAATTAATTACTTAGTTACTTAGTTACTTTTTAAAAACACGATTTACAACCTGAAGAGGTGATAAAGTGATAGATCTTTCAGCCCAATTCTACTTTTTCTACATAATCCATCATACAAAATGTAATCAAATGGAAAAGTCTCTTTTTAAAACTTGTTTTATCAGTTTTAATCTTTTAACTTTATGCATCAAGCAAAACATTTAATTATATGCAACATTCTCTGACTTGAATAAATTAGTTTAACATTTAAACCTATTTTCTACACATTCCAGCACATAAAATAAAATATTTTTTGTGTTTTCACTCACTCTTTCAAACAGATGCAAGTAAAACACAGCAGAAAATAAATAAAGTCAAAGACTCAGCGGTCCTGTTGTTCTATTTTCACCTGTAAAGCAGGAGCAGGGTAGGCGGAGGGTTACCCTGGTGCAGGTGTGCTGCGGTCAGTTGAAGAATCCGCGCGAGTGTCTCTGTGAGTTTCCCATCACGTCGTAGCTACTCGGTGCTTGCTCGGAAGTTTAGGGGTTTTTTTCGCTGTAAAAAGAAGTTTTCTTCCCACGCACGATGGACGCTAATGTTTTTGTCACTTTTTATGGAATCAAACTCAAAGTAAGGTCAGTACTTCCACACTTTAAACGCTGCACGCTCATACTCTCTCCCGCACTCGATATATTATCCATTGTTGATCTGCACACAGCTGCTGTCACCAACGTCGCACTTGCTTACGTCACTGTCATGAGACATTCTCGCAAAAAAAATCACGGTTTTAGTAACGCAGTAACGCAGCGTTCCTACGGGAAAGTAACGGTAATCTAATTACCGATTTTGCAATAGTAATCCCTTACTTTACTCGTTACTTGAAAAAAGTAATCAGATTACAGTAACGCGTTACAAGTAACGCGTTACTGCCCATCTCTGGTCGCCACGGGCTTCCGTGTTCTCACGCACAAGCTTCCTCATTCTGCATTTCACAAGATTTCCCCCTTTAAACTGCTGAGTCAGGCCCAGCTTTTCCCTCGTTTCCTCTTGCGTGATCATCCCAAGTTCTAACACTGGACGTCATGATCGTCTCTTCTGTGTTGAGAGTTTTGAGGTCGTCCCCAGGGCAGCACTGTCCACACTCTAGAAGGCTCTACTTTATGTTAAGTTCCCCCACAACAGATCTAAAACGCCAGTCCCTCTAATGTCTCCCTGACCACCCGTCCCTCTTTCCAGGCAAATTTTCCTGCGTGAACTTTTCGAGCTAATGTTGGCACGCACGTGGATACAGCTGCAGTCAGATGGCAAAGTTTAAGATATCAGGTTAAAGGTTGGATATTGAAACCGAGTGCTCTTCTTAGATGAGTTCAGCACACTTGCTTTTTAAGCAGCTTCTTATATGAAGCTTTGTCTTTCATTTGACCTTGATCCCAGTGAGCCGGGAGCCTCTCTGATTGCCAAAGCAAGCAAAGAACTCTAATCACGGTATTTTATTGATGGCAATAAACAGGATTGTGAAAGTGTAAGAAAGCTGATATTTATTAGCAAGAGAAAACTAAACTGGAAGATGCACATATGCGGTTAAGTTTATAAGTATTTGGAC